TTAAAGTAAAAAAATGTACAGTATATACATATATGTAAATATATATTAATTAATAATAATATATTAAAAACTCAGAAAATTCGGAAATTTGTAAGATTTTTTTGGCATAAATTTGGTTATTTTGTTTTGAAAGATAGCATCTACACAGAAAATTGAAAGGTATTAAAATAAGCTGCAACGCTTCTTATTTTAATCCATTTTTACTTATTTTAATACCAAAATGGATTAAAATAAGAAACATTTGATTAAAATAAGAAGTGTTGCAGCTTATTTTAATACCTTTTAGTTTTCTGTGTATCTATCTATAAAATAAATAGAGAAAATAAAATTTAAAATTCGGGAGACCAAAAAATAGTTCGGATAATAGAAGTTCGGATAAAATGTTTTTCGGTTCGGATAATAGAAGGTTCGGATAATAGAGGTTCGGATAATCGAGGTTGCACTGTATTTCAAATTCACAGAAAATTAAAAGGCTTTAAAATAAGCTGCAACGCTTATTATTTTAATCCAATTTTGCTTATTTTAATACCAAATTGGATTAAAATAAGCAAAATTGGATTAAAATAAGCAAAATTGGATTAAAATAATAAGCATTGCAGCTTATTTTAAAGCCTTTTAATTTTCTGTGTTAGTAAGCCGATTTACTTCATGAATTAGTAGTTTTCTACTAGCAATTAGTATTTTTTTTTTTTTACTAAAAATTAGTTACTAATTCAATTGGTAAACGAATACGCACTATTTCATTAGTAGAAAATTACTAATTCAGATTTAGAGAGAGATTGTATATCCAATTATTTCTAACTTTCTTCAGTGTGTTTTCAAAATAATAATTTTCGAAATGAAAAATCTTTTATTGTATAGTTGATTTAGGAAAATAAATGTATTTCCCCATAAGATTCAAACGAGAATTAAGGGGAGGTTTTTTTTTTTTTTTTGTTTTGTTATATATGGGGGGTGAGATTTATGTGAATTGATGAAATTTAATGAGTCGAATATTTAAATATTAAAGATAAAGAAGGATGTCTGTGTCTCTCTTCGAAAAGACAATGAAAATAAAAGAAAGAATGAAAGAAAGAAAAAAAAAAAGGGGGAAAAAAATAATTGAAGGCCATCACACAGCATCTATTTCAGCTCCTCTTTCTGGCCTTCAAGATCCCCAACCCCCGTGAAAATCAATGTGAGAGCTACTGTGTGTGGTGTCACTACTAACCATTCTGGTAACGTTAACTATATCGCCACATTTTTTTTCCTCGCGTCTTTCTCGTAATTTCCCACTTTTTTCCACACCCTCCCCTTTTTATTATATACGCTATCTTTGTTTTTACTTTCCATTTAGTTCTATATAAATTTTTTTTTCTGGACAGTTTTCTCTTTCTTTTTTTCTCAGTCTACTCTCATTTTGTTTCTATTTCTTCCGCTTTTGCCTCACGTTTAATCCATTCGTTGTGCATGTTATCTTTCGCACGTTAATCGTTAATGGACCACTGAGTACTTCATCATTTTAGAATAGAGAGTGCAAGAAGTTGGAAAATTTCACAGTGAAAAAGGTTCTCTTTTTTTTTTTACTCTCAGAGGCTTAAAATTTTTTTTGGGTTAATATAAATTACATATATACAAGAGAGAAAATATTTTTTTAAATATATGTATATTTAAATCTTCTTTATATTTTATAGTTAATACAGATTTTTCCAACAGTGAAATGGAAATGAAAGTGAAATTTTTATTTAGTGGAAGTGAAATTATTCCTCGATTTTTCGTGAATTACAGTTTTCTTTTTGATTGAGTATATATATAAAATTTTTTGTTTTAAAAAGAATTTAGTAACTATATTCTTTGCGTAGCTTATAAATACACTAAAAAAAATTTTTTATTTGTTTCAAATAATCGGTTACTTGACTATTATCAAATAAAAATTTATTTGTATCAAAAAAAAATTTATTTGTATCAAATAAAAATTTATTTGTATCAAATAAATATTTATTTGTACTCTCTAAATCTGAATTAGTAGTTTTCTACTAATGAAAGAGTGCGTATTCGTTTACCAATTAAATTAGTAACTAATTTTTAGTAAAAAACTACTAATTGCTAGTAGGAAACTACTAATTCATGGAGTAAATCGGCTTACTAATTTGAAATAGTAAAAAATACGATTTACTCCATGAATTAGTAGTTTTCTACTAGTAAATTAGTAGTTTTTTTACTGCAAATTAGTCAAAAATATTACTAATTCAATTGGTAAACAATTACGCACTCTTTCATTAGTAGAAAACTACTAATTCAGATTTAGAGAGTAGCAAATAAATATTTCTTTGTACCACATAATTATTTATTTGTATCAAATAATTTTTTTTTGGTATTTGTTTCAAATACAGAAATTATTTTGTTCAAATAAATTAATTCAAATAAAAAATATTTATTTCAAGTAAATGTTTATTTGATAATAGTCAAGTAACCGGAATCAAATAAATTTTTCTTTTTTCATTATTAATATATTGTTTCCTTTTTTTCTGGAATCTCATCCGCAACCTCGATTTTTTTAAAGCAACTAACAATAGTTGTTATCTGTAGCAAAACTCGACCCCCTTTAAAGCATGCTTCGCTAGTCGCTATGTATATAGTTGTTTGTTAACTCTATATAACATGAGCATAAATAGATTCATGTACAAATCGTTTATACCACAGAGTATAATAAAATTATCAAATTTATCTATTATACTGATATATTTACTTATATATATATATATATATATGATACTCGACGGTGAAAGGACACAGAAAATTAAAAGGCATTAAAATCAGCTGCAACGCTTCTTATTTTAATCCAATTTTGCTTATTTTAATCCATTTTGATATTAAAATAAGCAAAATTGGATTAAAATAAGAAGCGTTGCACCTTATTTTAATGCCTTTTAATTTTCTGTGGACTTTAGCTGAAAACAAATTTTAGGTTATGTTTAATTGAAAATATTCAATAAAGATTGATTTAAATCATTCTTTATTAAATATTTTTCAAGTGTTTTTGTTATTAATCATCTTTTTGTAGTATCGCTCCAAAAATCACAAACATAACCTACAAAATTTATTTGCAAGCACAGAAAATTAAAAGGCATTAAAATAAGATATTATTTTAATACAATTTTGCTTATTTTAATCCATTTTGGTATTAAAATAAGTAAAATTGGATTAAAATAATAAGCGTTGCATCTTATTTTAATACCTTTTAATTTTCTGTAAGGTCCCATACACCGTAGAGTATTAAATAACAATTATTGTCAATATAATAATTAATTTTCTCAATTAATTGAAAAAAAATACCTTGGGGCAAATAAATTTTTGTTGATGAATTTTTTTTTTTTTTTATTTATCTCTTTAAATTGAAATTAATGGCATTTGTGTGTCATTCTCGGCTAGAAATGAGAGGAGAGATATAGACCATTCGTTCTTTAGAATTCACTAGGGATCAGGTTGTCTATCAGAAGGATCTTTGTAACGTTCCAATTACTGAACATCCCCGGAAAGTTATGACGCCTTTCTCCTTGGGATATATAACGCAAGACAGCGATATCGAATTATTATGAGAGCGGAAGTCAGGGTATATATAATATAGTTAGATGGTGTTTGAAATAGTGACGAGAATATGAAGGGTTGGAAGATAAAGAGAGGCGGATTTGCGTGTAAAACTTGTCAGAATATCCAGCCCTCGTCATCTTTCTCATTTTCTTTTTTATAACACTCTCTTCTTCTTCTTGTTCGCAAAAATAATTAGTATATCGTTTACTATAACACTAATTACTTGTTTTCTTCAATAAACAATTTCCCCTTTTCTTGATGGCATTTTTATATTATTATAATATAATTATTAGCGGATAATTAATAATTATTAACAGCTTATGAATTTAATTCAATATTAATATTAATTAATACCGAGTATTAATTCAAGATTTTAATCAAATTTAGCTATTAATTAAATTTAATTAAACTGTATTTCGTATATATACCACTTGACAAGTTGATAATGGCGACACGATGACAACATGATAGTTGTTTTGAGATAAGATTCAGCAAGAAGGTTGTCTATCGTTGTTGTATGTTGTCAGGGATTATTGATGCCCTAGTCACAATGGAAACCTCTCTTTCTCTCTCTCTCTCTCTCTCTCCCTCATACTTCCATATAACAGTCGATAATGGATATAGTAATGGGTGGAGGTAAATTCTCTTATATTTATTTTTTTTCACATATATTCTTTTTGTCCTCATGTCATTCTTTGTTCGCGTTCATTTCTGCATCCCCCCTCCTTTTTTTTTATTTGCAATATATAAAACGTTTTAAACTATTATCTTTTACTAAAAATGTACTCTCAAAAAGTCAATAAACATTTTTTAGTACACTTTTTTTTTTAAATTGAAAAAAAAATTATTTTATTTGCGAACTATATTTTTATTAGTTTATTTACAAATTAAAATCTGTTGTTTTAAATAGATTCTTTCTAAAATCTTACTCTAAATTTGAATTGGTGATTCATTTACACTGAAAAAAAAATTTATTTGATTCAAATACTCGATTACTTGAGTATTATCAAATAAATATTCATTTGAACCAAATAATTTTTATTTGAATTGTATTTGAACCAATAATTTCTGTATTTGAAACAAAAATACCATTTAATTGACTCAAATAATATTTATTTGATACTAATAAATATTTATTTGATAATAGTCAAGTAATGGATTATTTGAATCAAATAAATTTTTTTTTCAGTGTAATTAAATACTAATTTGATAGTAAAAGAAAATTATTTTCTACCATTAATGTAGTTTTAATAATTTTAACTAAATTATACTATTTCAAAAGCAAAGAGTAAGTTACTAATTCAAATTAGTTAAAAAATTTTTACTTATTCAGATATTGAGAGTAACTACACTGGAAGACTTTTTGTTTCAAAATGAGGAAAACACTGTGTTTTTGTACTATTTAATGAACGTACTAGTTTCTAACCAAATAATACCAAAAATTAGTATGGTCCATACTAATTTTTAATTTTTTTCTAGTTAGAAACTAATACGTTTATATGCGACTAAGTAGTACAAAAACAACGTTTTCCTCATTTTGAAACAAAAAGTCTTTCAGTGTATAATTAGTTAATCCTTAACCTAACAATCTATAAATTTTCCCGAGTAAATTGTTCTTAAAATTTTATATTCACGCCAAGTGTGATAATTTGGTCTCCATACTTCAAAATGATTTGTTATAGTTAGAATTATCAATGCAGGAATGTTACAATGAACGCCACGTACTTTTGGAACTTCAGATTGAATTTTTCCCGGACACGTTGTTGGACTCTAAAATTATATAACAGGCGCGATTTTATTAGAAAATGTTTGTTTAAAAAAAAAGAACAAAAAAAACAAAAGAGCAAGAAAATTTAATTTTTTTGAAATAGTGCTTTGTATTTTAGAGAAAAATAATAGTAGTTGGAAAATTTTTACCTCTTTACCCACTGGACATCTGTCTGGAATTTTATCACCTGTGAGCATTAGCTGGAAAAGCGTTTGCGTCAAATGACCATCGCTAGCAGGTGATGGTTTCTTACAAGTTCTAGCAGGTGCATCTACACTTGGTTGCTTTCCAATGTAATCAATGTTCAATCGTAGCTTTAAAAGTAAAGAAAAAATATATATTTAATTTGTAGAACCAAAATTTTATTTGATTCTAATAATCGGTTACATAATTATTATCAAATACACAGAAAATTAAAAGGCATTAAAATAAGCTGCAACGCTTCTTATTTTAATCCGATTTTGCTTATTTTAATCCATTTTGGTATTAAAATAAGCAAAATTGGATTAAAATAAGAAGCGTTGCAGCTTATTTTAATGCCTTTTAATTTTCTGTGTAAATATATTTACTTGAACTATATAATTTTTATTTTAATCAAATTTTTTCCAGTTTATTAAATAAAAAAAAACTATAAATAATAGAGTATTTAAGAGAAATTGTTTAAAAAAAAGAACTTTATTCCTTACGGTAAAATCTTTATCGCTACCACGAAAATGCACATCCCTTTTCCATTTAATGTCAACATTTTCTGATCCTAAAGTGACATTAAATGGCGATAAGAAAAAACTGTTTTCGGTTTTATTTGGATTAATGTATAAGTAAATTCTCGTTGCTTCAAATTGAATTCCTTTCTATAAAACAATTAGTAAGTTACTTTCTTTTATTTATTGAAGCACAATATATAATTACATGGAAAAAAATAAAAAGTAATTTTTACTACTTTCATAGTAAAACGAGAACTGTCCGAAGTTACTGCGCATCTCTGGCAACTTTTACTCCAAAAATAGTAAAATTTACTCCAGAAATAGTAAAAATTACTACGGAACAGTAAAATTTACTACAAAAACAGTCAAATTTACTACAAAAATAGTAAATTTTACTATGTTCCGTAGTAATTTTTACTATTTCTGGAGTAAATTGTACTATTTTTGAAGTAAAAATTTCCAGAGATGCGCAGAAACTTCGGACACTTTCCGTTTTACTTTGAAAGTAGTAAAAATTACTTTTTCTTTTTTTCCGTATAGTTATTCTGTATGTAAAAAAAAAAATTAATTCACTCACAGCAATGGCTAGAAAGCCTATTATAAAACATAAAATAAATTTTAACATTTTAAATATCCTCAAATTTTCTTTTTCTCTTATTTTTTTTCAAAAATATGGAAAATAGTTTGTTTTACAATAATTTTGTAAACGAAGTGTAAAATAGAACTGTTTGTAGAAGTATGCTGGGAAATTCGCAATAAAACCAGTTTTTTTTTATAATATATTATACAACAAAACATTTTATCAACTATTTCCGTGCATTTAAAAGTGATAAGACATAATCATTAATACACTTGAAATGTCAAATAAAAAATTGGAAATTTTTTATTCTGACAAAATAAATTTATATTTAAAATAAAAAGGAGAAATTTGATAATGTTTTGCTTAATTTTTTATAATATAAAAATATTATGATGTTGAAAAATAATTTCTATTTTGCATAAACGATAAATTGATTAGAAGGAAAAAAAGTGGCTCGTTTAATAAAAATTAATAAACTAAATAATTTTTGTTTTTTTATATTATTTGATTGACAATTTTTGCGAAAAATTGCATTTTTCCTCGCTTACAAAAGACAATTCTCTTTCAATGACATTTGGTTTTTGTTTTTTACATGTGAAATTTGCTCACGTATTTCAACTTCACGTACTTTTTATATATATAAAAGCTACAATTTTACTAACTTTGAAACTCGAGAACAGTTCTCTCTCTCTCTCTCTTTGTCCCTAATATGTAGAGACTTTTTTTTTCTATATATATTGAAGAATAAAAAAAAGAATATACGGTTTCAATGGTCGATACGAACGAAGAGAATTTCATGAAAGAAAAAAAAATATTTAAAAAAAAAACTGGAATTCAAGACTCTCTCTCTCTCACGGTATAAGCATGGTAACGAGTCGCCTATGATTTATTAGCTGTGTGTATACCCGTGGCAGAGTAGCCAATCAGAGAGGAGCTTTCTGCAGGTCGTTAATTATCAGACTAGTTGATGGATCGTTTATGTTTCGTCGCATGTCAAAACGAATAATTGTTTCCAATACTTTGAGTCAAGTTTTCCTTTTCTGTTTCTTTTCTCATTTTTCACTACTAATTTTTTTTTTTACATATATTTATATTATTAATTTTTAAAATATGATTCCCTCGGTTTTTTAAAAAAGCAAAACAGAAAATTGGAATTGAATGTATAGGATAAAAAATTGTTTACTATTTTTTATCATTGCTGTATACAATGCAGAAAAGTACACTTTTCTGCACTGTTTTTTTTATCTTTTCTGTATAAAGTATACATTTCTGCACTGTTTGTTACCTTTGCTGCATTTTGCGCAAAAAACAATAATTTTTTATTATTCGTGCGGAGAATGGTTATGCTAATAAATTATTCGTGTTTTTGAAAATTATTCCTCTAGTGCAACAAGTGACTATAAAACAGCATTGTATGTAATAATAACGTTAGGAAACTATTTCTATTTTCTATATCCAAAAATTACCTTTTTTTTTCTCCAAAATACAAAATTGGAGGAAATGCAGTTTACTAAATCAAAGTTGATTTTTAATCCAAAAATCATCACTTCTCGATAGGAAACTAAATTAATAAAACTTTGCAAGCTTCTCTCTTCAATCGACAGGCATATATATGAGAATTTACTTTTATGGCAGAATTTAATCACATTCTGGTATCGATTGTACAATTTTTGCCTGACATTTGAATGAAAGGTATATCTTGCGCTTTTCCAAAATCCATATTTGATTCACCCTCATCGTTCCTATCCCTTCATATTGAGAGAAGAAGAATATATTTTTCGCATTAATACAATAAGCAATTTTTTTTTCCTCATTCGGTTTTATTTTGTTAAATACACTGGTAAAAAGAAAGGGAATTAATTTAATACCAACTTCAGGTACGAAATTGTCATTTGGTTCTATTTTGATACCTAAAATCGGTTTCTGTTTTAGTACTTTCTGTTTACAGTGATAATAATACGAAGAAGCTTATTTAATAATTTAAAAGATATTGTTTCTTTTATAAAAAAATATGATTCTATGAACAAGAATTTAATATGAAACGATATTCTTTGAGTAGGGTCTAACGATACTTACACAATGTCTAACTTTTCTCTTGCTGTGGTCACAGAATATGTGAATATACGAAACTTACAAAATTCATGAATATTTCATAAGATCGGAACCGATACAGTCATCAAAAATTGAAGAGTGTGTCTTCTTCCAGATTTTTATGTTCATATATGTAATGTTGAACTGCAAGAAAGAGGAACTGATACATATTCATTTATTGAAATATCAACAGTATAGGAATAATGTACCAAAAAAATTCTTGTTTGCACTCTTTCTGTAGAAAGTGGAAGGCATTAAATATTGTACCACTTTTCTTTTATTATACTTTTCGAATATAAAAAGATAAGAAATACAGTTTTTATTTAATATCGTAATTATTTTTTTTAAAGCTAATGTCATTTGATAAAAATATATAATTAGGTTTTATAAAAGCAAAGGCAGCATCCTGTAATTTGCATCCTAGAACAGTGTATGTGCTATCAGTGGAAGGCAAGTAGCGTGAATAGGACATCTGAGCCTTCATTTGTATCTTGACTACTTTAAATATACCACACGGTTGGGATAGAGTTTGTACAAACTAGAGATGCTCTTCACTTTTGTTTATATCAAACAATTCATTGTAATTAACTATAGTGTGGCAAAAGTTTATCTGTGTTTGGTCGGAAAACTTTTCCATTGTTTAACATATATATATATATACACGTCCAGTTGAATTTTGAAATGTATTTTGCTGAATTTTCACTTTACCTCGAAATATGTATGTATACTTTATTCATATAGAAGCATTGCCGGATGGTGTGTTTAGTGCGTCTATAAATTCTATAGATTCCATAAATTTCATAAATTGTCGATTAAATTAAATAGAAGTGCAGAGGAGAAATAATCGGAATTAGTATTAGAAGTTTTATTTTATAATTGTTGGAAAAATTTGAAAAATCTTAAATGGACTCAAGAACGCTTAACCTGGATAATTCGAACTGGAATCAGCTAACATTGGTTCAAAATTGAACATCAATTACATTTCATACCTACAATTGTCATTAGGAGACAAATTCTTGTTTCCATTGTCGCTTCTCACCTGAGTATTTCATACAGTAAAATTACAGATTAATTTTAGATCTAAGGCAGATTTGTCCTTTATCAAAAGTTGTTTCTCTCAGTTGATAAACCATTCTCATCTTTGGTTAAGATTTTCCTCTCTCTCTCTCTCTCTCAATGGTAGAAGAAGCAAGATTGATATTACATATATACGAATTTTCCTATAAAGGACTGAGAGAAAGAGATGGATGATCAAAGAGGAGTGCGCGAACGAAACCTACCTAACCTTCTACTAGGCACCTTTTTCGTCATCCGGCGATTTCGTGCGGGTTGGTCCTGCGCTCTGGGATGCTGCGAAATCTACCCCCGCTTTACCCCATTAAGCACCCACGTCAGCGAACTAGCAGTGAGAGCCAGGCCGCCGCCATAGCCGCTCCCGGGCAATAAGAAACCGGTCCTCGTGCTAATTTTTCATCAGCTTTTTCTAACCTTTCAAAAAGTTTGTGTCACTAAATATCTTTTCGTCGACATTATAATCGGTCGGATTTGTTCCTTCTTTTCTTAATTTCCCGCCCCCCCCTCCCACTTCCAAATTTTCCTTTAAAGATTGTATAAAAAAAAATTTATTTGATAATCCGCCGCACAAGAAGCATTACTACGGATTTTAGAGTTCTAACGTGCAGAGTCAACCTCCGTTCGATAAAGTTGGCGAAAAAGGGCACAAATCAGAACACCGATCTGGGATCTATAAGAATTATTCTCTACTAAATTGAAAGTGAATAATTAACTCGGTGAATATAGGTGAGGGTGGTGGAGAAAAAAAAGGACGAATTCTTAATTAAGAAGAGAGGAAGATTCTATAATTAGAAAATTGTGGAGAAATTAATTATGGTGTTCTGAGTTTCTAAGAATTAATGGAAAATTAAGAAATTTTTTTCCTATAGAAAATAAGTTGGTGCATTAAATTGAACAAAAATCGAAGTGTTTTGGTGTTTTTTTTTTTTTTTGTTACGGAGGCAAGAAAAGAAATCACAGAATTAACGGGTAATAGATTAGGTGTATCATTTTCTTTTGATAAATCTAGATAAGAACTACTAAAGTTATAGTCGCACAAGGATAATAATAGTAAATAGATAAATATCAATATTTTTGAACTACAGTAAACTTTGAAATGATGAAGACAATGGTTAAGAGGCTTCTCAAAAATCCACTTTTATCCCCAGAGAGATTATCTACTGCTTGTCCTTGAAAGTATTATAGCACCTAGCACTTGTAAGGGGTCAACGATTCAGGAGGTTCGAGAGAGAAATATATAGGGATGAGGAAAATCCAGTAACGGAGAGATGCTCTTTGAGAAAAAGGAGGACAATGCACTGCAGTTTGAAGTCAATAGTGTGAAAAAAAAAGAAAATCGAAAGAAATTCACAACAATTTTATCTTTAATTAAAAGTGACAGTAAATATTTATTTCTAATTATAGAAAACATTTTCTAGCCTCATTTCTTTTTTCTAAATCATCTAATAGGATATTTTTTTCCCTCAAAAAGTGTGCAAAAAAAAAAAAAAGAAACTAGGTGATGATAAAAAAGTGGTGATACAGTGAAATGTGAAAAATAATAGGAGAGTTTGCGAAATTTTCGTGTTATCTCGTGTGAGTGTTTATATTGGATGCTGTAGTGCAGTGAATTTGGTTCAGGTATTAGAAAAAAAGTGTTTTCTGTTTCAGAAGGCATTTTTCAATGAACTGCTGTTTCAACCAATGATGACGATTATGATGGTGTATTATCTACTGTTTTTACGTAACGGATTTCGGTGAGTTTCACTTAAAATTTTTATTATTTATTAATTCTTTGTTCTTTTTTTTTGACGTTATCTTCTATTACATCTAAAACCGTGTTATAGTAACAAATTCATAGTCTCATTTAAATGTAATATCATAGTATAATATTTTATCCGATGTAATTAAAAAATGCGGTATAGAAATACAATATAAGTTTCTGTTTTAATTGAAGAAAAGAGGTTATGTGACATCGAAACCATATTTGATTTTTTAAAAATTTTAAAATACCAAAGATATTGCTTTGAGATTTTAAATCGTTGTTTATTCTAGCAGTTCATAAATATTATTGAAATAATTGGAAAAGTAAATTATTGAAAAGGGACGTTGGATTAATTGCGCTGTGTCAATGGGTTCATTGGACTAATTAATTAGTCAAGCGTCGTTGGTTGAATTTTGTTGAGTTGCCAATTAGCAAATAAATTCTTTATTTAATTTCTTTAAAAAAAAAAAAATATTAGGAACGTGATTGTTTAAAAAAAAACAATTCGGCATATGGATTAAAATGCGGAATCCTTTAAATGAATTACAAATTCGTTAGCGGAAAATATTACTGTAATAAGTCCGCTTTTATGGGTTATTTTTGTATTAACAAAAGTATATGTAGGATAATACGGATACTATATGGAACAATAAGTTTTTGAATAGAATGATCAATAGTGGTGTCCGAGCTTTATAATCCCCTTTTTTTTATTCCCAAAAATTATTGTTGGCCCTGCAACAATAATATCTCAACTCTAGAAATAGATTTTATGTTGTATAACAATTGTATAAATGTTTATATAATTTATTTCTAATTCTGTATTGTTTTTTTTGTCGATAAAAAAAAAATAGGGGGGCTTGAAAGAGAATAATTCTGATTGAAGACGATCAGGTTAGAGTTGACAGGGAGTACTTTATCAATTTGAAGTTCGAGAAATAAAGATTGATGACCGGACCGTAATGGTTTAAATTCTAAATTGAAAAGCAGTCAGCAATTTGTGTGCGTAAAAAGTCTATTTTTTCTGGTTCATTTGTATTGATTTTCGTTTTATTTCATTTAGTTTTTGCACTATTTTTAGATATATAGAGGGGGAAAAAAAAGAAAGAATTAATTAGAATTTTGTTATCAAACTTCACCTTTTCACAAAAGGCATAAGCTTTTCATTTTGTTATTCTCGGTGTTTTTTATAATAATTGTTTTTCAATTATAATTGAATAATTATAATTTCATTGTAATTTAACTATATAAATATATTGGAATAAGTGGTAGTGGTATATAAAGTATTGATCGGAGTATATACCCCATGTTGTTTTTATAATGAAGTTTGCTTTTACAGTAGCGATAGATAGATAGACTGATGTGGGATGCAGCATGTTTACAGGCAAAAATGAAATAGGAGAGAGAGATGAAAAAGACGGTGTATATATGTATATAGAAAGTTTAGCAAAAGATCTGCTTTAGAATCAGCTCATGATCAGCAAAAAAAAAAAAAAAAAGAAAAAAAAATATGTAAGGATAGAGTGGCCTTCTAGTTATTTCTAGATATAGTCGATAGTCGATATTTCACTTTCGAATAAATATATTGACATGTCCTTCTTTAATGAATTTGCGATCAAGTGCGACTATTGTGCCAATTTTCTCTATATTATTATTTATAGCAAATTTTCTTTCATTTCTCTTTCTCATATATTGTTTTTTTTCCTTTTGTCTATTGTTTTCAATAATTTCTCTCTTGTAATTTTATATATTATCACAGAAAATTAAAAGGCATTAAAATAAGCTGCAACGCTTATTATTTTAATCCATTTTGGTATTAAAATAAGCAAAATTGGATTAAAATAATAAGCGTTGTAGCCTATTTTAATATCTTATAATTTTCTGTGGGATCAAATTTTTATTCCGTATATATATGTACATTGAAAAAAAATTTATTTGAACCAAATAATTTTTAATTGAATCAATTGAATGGTATTTGTTTTAAATACAAAAAATTATTGCTTCAAATACTTAAAATATTTAAGTTAATTATTTGCGGTTCAAGTAAATATTTATTTGATAACGCAAAGTATTATTTGAATCAAATAAATTTTTTTTTCATTGTATATATAAAAGAGAGGGAGAAAAATCATTATTTGAAATTATTCAGTTTCTATAGATGGCTTTAATAATAATTCGAAGTTCATAATTTAAATTTTATGAGTTATTCAGAATAGCTTGTGTGACAAAGTGTGTGTGTGGAATCACATAAAAGTGAGAATATTAAATTTCTGAAAACCCCTCGATTATTACTCGATTATTTCGTATATATATAATATATATTCTCATTTGCATAATGTGTTGCTTTTTTAATTCGCATTTTTTTTCTGAATTTTATTTTTTAATGGGACAAAAACAAATTGAATTTTGTATCACATTTTTTTATATTGTCTTTCAGAACACGTGTAGACAATTCACAACTGGTCAATTTTTCTTTTATATATATATATATTCTTCATTTTGTTCAATTCACATCTCGATGTCATGGAAAAAGTTTTCTTGATAGGGTCTTTCGAAATTCTCATCTTTAAAGTAAATTACTTCGAAATCATATACTCTGTCCCTTATTTCGGTTTTACGAGTGCGTCACGTTTTTGAAAGTATATATATTTCTTTTTATGTGACACATTTTATCGAAATTTGGAAACATGACTTATTTATTTTGGTTTTCGTATAGCGTGGATTTTTTTTTAAATATTTTTTTTACAGAACAATATTTGTTAACGAAACACAATTTTTTTTTTTATTAAAAAAAGCTATCAACAATATTCGTATAAAAAGCAGAGTAGCAAATCGGTGGTAAATTTATTCCATATATTGGATCATATACAATATATATGAAATCTACATATATGCATTATACTTGTTCAAGCTGGAAATTTGCGATAACTTTTCACGCTTGATTTTTTTTAAACAGAGAGACAAAACAAACTAATCGCAATGTTTTTGTTTAAAATGGAAAAATTTTCAAATGAAACACACAACCACAATAATTTGGTTTTCGTTTTAATAAATATTTAAAGACTTTATTTTCTTTTTTTTTTTTTTATTACGGATTTGATTTAATTTGTTTTTGTTTCTTGAAAGTCTCCTCGGTTTTAGGAGATATTTTATTTCTTTATAAAGAGTTGACAACAACTCTCTGTGAATAAGTTTTTCTCTCTCTCTCTCTCTCTCTCTCTCTCTCGGAAAGTTGTCTTCAGACTCGAAACCCTAGCTTGTGAGTTTTAATCAGTACAGTAGCGAGCATTCTGAAATCATGAGAGTTTCAAGAAGAACCGGAAGTGTCGCAAGCCGATTAAAGCAACGGGATCTCGAAAGCGGAATTTTCCCTTTATATAATGCTTCCTAAAAGCAGCAATTGGTTTAAAAATAAATAGAATCAAAAAACGTTAATGATGAAACTTTTGAGTTTCAAATTTTTTAATTTGATAATTTAAAAAAAAAAAAATATTTTAAACATGCTGTTTTCAGGAAAATATAACGCTCATTTAACACTGTTTTTTTTTCAACGTAAGACATTTTAATTTTCTTTCTTTTAGTGTCTATAAAAAAAGTGTCGTTAAAAATTCTCACCGAGATAGCGCAAAAGTAATTGGTCGTCAAAATTAAACACTCTTAGCTCTTTAAAGTCATATTCTTCATTTTAATGAAAATAAAATTTTTTTTATTTATAATTTTTTTTTTATATATAAGTTTTTGATAGCATTTAGAAATTATAAATTATTTTTGGATATTTCAGTTTTATATGAAACATATATTAAGACCGGTTTTTTTTTTCATCTCTTTTTTTATATCCTCCTTCTCCATTGCTTTTTTTCTGCTTGTCTTGAATCGACCTCTTGAAAGTTAGCAAAAGCGAACCGGGCAGAATAAAGTCGAGAAGCCGACGGGTAAACGAAAGCCTTGGCTTCTATCATATTTGTAGGGGAACGACGCTCTCTCTCTCTCTCTTTCTCTCTATGTATATATCTATATTTTTACAAGACGATAGAGCTTTCGCTCTTGGGATTTGGTCTCTCAGGTTAAAGCCAGATACTTTTTTCGATAACATGCGTCCACGATAAACGAAGGAATAAGAAATGCTCTTTTTTTTCCCCAAATTTCTTTCATTGCCCAACACCCCCAGCACCCAATCTCCGACTTTTAATATTATTTTCTACATTTTAAAAAGAGAAAAAAATTTATTTCATTCAAATAAATATTTATAAATAAACTCTAATTTAAATCAATAATTTTGGAATGATTTTGAAATTTTAGATATTGAATCAAATCTTATTAAACGTCTTTTTTTTTTTTTTTGAAATAATTATTATAAAACAAAAGGGAAACAACCCTTGAGAACTTTGATAAAAAAAAAAATTGTTCTTTTATTTCTATTTATTTTTCCCTTTTTAAAAGTTTATACATTTTTTTTTTATATATTTAAAATAAATAACCTGCATTTGGTATAATAAGAAAAAAGAATTTTCTTTTAAAGGGGAAAAAGTTTCTTCTTTTATAAAGTATATTTCTTGAAAAATGAAACAATTTTGTTTTTGAAAAATTTAGAAAATATGTCTCTTTTGAAATGCAAAACAATAATATGAAAATATTGTAAAGGAAAATTGTCTGGGCGGAATATATTTACATTGAATATGACACTTTAATGAAATATTTAATTTTAATTTTTTTTTTTTTTGCTTTAAAATCTTGTGTTATTGCTTAATCCGATTGAGTGTGAGGACTAGAGAGAGAGAGAGAGAGACGTCTCTTTTCCTGTACTGTCTTCTTTAAGTAGATTGGAAAAGTTTCGGTCAGACATGCGCGCAACTAGTCTTATCTTGATTGTCCTCATCTACTTCATACGTATAGTACATTCATTCCCCTGGCGTTTTCCTGCTTGCGAACAATTTCAATTTCTCTTCTCCCAGGTGCTCGATTTCTATCTATTTGTTTAGAAATTTCCTTTCTAGTCCTTAATTAACTTAACAAGATTTCACGCGTATCTATTAAGAAAATTACAATTTATTTTCACTTTATAACAATCGTGTTTTTAACTTTTAAAATTGTTTTTCTATTATATATTTTTTCTTTTTCTCAAAGATTACGTAATATTGATTTGTAGTTTATCGAGATAATTTGTCAATTCCTGTCAAAAAGTTCCATTAGTCCTGAAAAAGAGTAAAAGCACACAAAGTTTAGTTTTCTTTTCTCTCTCTATATATATATTGTCGAGAAATAATTATGAAAGTTTTGTTTGTCATCAATTTATTTTTATGATGGAATTATTATTGGATTTCATTTTTTTTGAAAATAATATTTAAAAATAATATTTTTATTAGTATATATATACTTATGTTTCGACACGTTAAAAGTCCTATTCAATGTTCGCACAATTGCATGCGGATTTACTTTATGCAGAGAGACTCCAGCCAGTCGACCTGCTTTTCCGGCTGCCCCAGCCACTCGAAATATATGAATATTTACCCAAAGGGGAAAGAGTGCCGACCCGGACGACGACACGAACGACCTCTCTTCTTCCTCCTCTTTCTCTATCTCCCTCTGTGTCCTCTTAAAATTATATCCGTTCATCTTTAAAAATTACAGTACTCAACATTTTTTTTTTTATTTTTTATAAAAAATCATCGCTAGAAAGAATCGTTATTTTGTATAGGAGAAAAAAAAATGTTGCGGTCTGAGAGACCGCTTTGGTAGTTTAGAGGTTAATTTACGTGTATTAAAGAAAAGGTAGATATATCCTTTCAAAATTACATGCTTTTGCACTAGATTGTAATTACTCTAATGTCTTGACAACCGCAGAAATAAGTAACTTTAGCATTGAATTCGGTGTGTAATTCCCAAGACATTTTAAACTAAAGTGGACTCTAGCAACGCACTCGAGGTTTCTAACGAGCTGCTAAACATTTTGGACAATATCGCGTGGAATTTCGTTTGTGGTCTGTAGAAGCATGCAGAATACAAATGTATATATATATATATATTTATAGGAGAGAAGCGCATGGTGGGTGATTGTATAGTCTAGAGGCGTCGCAAAAGTACCTCCACACTCGCCAGGGACTCGAGACAAGTCTCCATGGCAACTCCTCCTGTTCTCCTAGTGGAACGATAAGTCCCGGAGTTTCAAGAATCCTGGCCACTATTTGCTCCTCACTAAATACCCTAAACAATATAAACTCAAAGCTAGGCAATTCTGACGTATATACATGTATATCCCTTGAGGCTTACATTGGAATTAAATATAAACACGAGTTAAGATGAGCATTTCTCTGTCACATATTTTATGGAAAAATAGTTTTTCTTACATATTATCACAGGGGAAAAAAATACATTCTCTGAGAAAAATAGAATAACGAATAAAGTTACTTTTACTACTTTAAAAGTAAAACCTGAACTGTCCATTCTGCGCATTTCTGCGTAATTTTAACTTCGAAAATAGTATAATTTACTTCTGAAATAGTAAAAATTATTTCGTAAATAGTAAAATTTTACTATTTTCGGAGTAAAAATTACGGATAGTTCGGGTTTTACTTTTAAAGTGTAAATTGAATTACAATATATTTTGTCTGTATGAACTTTTTTTAAATTTTCTAAAATCTATTTTAAAACTACACTGCAAAAAGAAGTATCTTATTTTCAGATGTTTAAAATGTCTTAATGTCTTAAAAACGCTACCAAAACATCTTAAAATACTCTCTAAATCTGAATATGTAAGTGTAATTTCACTTAAAATGTGTCAAAAGTCTTCCACGTAGAAAAATAAGTGTATATGCACTTTTAAATAAGTGGTTTTCACTCAAAAATAAGTGAAGTTTCACTTATTTTTAAGTGCATATACACTTATTTTTCTACGTGGAAGACTTTTGACACATTTTAAGTAAAATTTCACTTATTCAGATTTAGAGAGTAAGATACTTCTTTTTGCAGTGTATTTTCTTTATTCTTTAAAATTAAAAAATGGCATTTAATTAAAAAAAAATTTTTTTCCAAGTGCTGGCTTTGCGTATTACTATATCTATAATAAAAAAAAGAGAATTTCAGTTTATTAACATTGTTAAAATGTAACAGTGATAAAATTGATATTTATATTTCAAAAAAATATAATTTTCATTGTAATTATATTATTTTCCCTTTTGTATATAGGTAGATTTTACATATAACATTCTTTATTTTAATTAAAGCTTGTATAATAATGAAAAATTCCTTTTTTTTTCATTTTTCACGTATATATATAACAAAACAGAATTTTTTCTCTATTTTAAAAAAGAATTTTCATTTTATAATAAAACTTTATATATATTTCAGTAGTATGAAATTCATCTCTGGTACATTTTAGTTTTGTCCGTAAACATATTCTACGCGTGTTCACGCATATTATCGTTTCACTGTAGAACCTTAAATGATTGCCCACTTTATTGATTCGTGTCTCTCTCTCTCTCTCTCGAAAACACTAGGTGAATTACAATAATTCTAGATATAGTAATCGCGAGTGTGCTTTGAATTCCCTGTTTTAAATTTTGAGGAGATATCTAATTCCACCCTAAAATGTTGAATTATATATTAATTTGTGACTGTTCCCTAGTTCACGTTAATATTGAATTTTTGAAATCATCAAAATTTGGTTTTGATATTTGTGTATATTAAGTCCAAAATTTTTATAATTTAAAAATTAAAACTATATTGTTCTAATTATAATAAGAAATGTATTTTTTTTGGTGTAAAAGTAATTTTCTCTATATTAGAATTTTTATTTTAAAACGAAAAAAAAATGTTTTAAGTGCATAATTGGCAGTTAAAAAAATGGTTATATATATATATTTTTTTTTTGCTGATTTATGAAGAAAATTCAATGCGATATGTTACAAGCAATAGAGTATAGAAGTGCTGTCAGAGTTCTTTTTTACGAGAATAATAGTTGAAAATAATACGTCAAACCAAGCGAACACGACAGCTCAATACCCAAGCCGCATTCAACCGTTTCGTTCTATTCTCATGTTTCGCTCTATCGTGTGTTTGAGCCTGTACATATATATGCTCTTTTCCGTAACTTGATGGTGTCACGTATCCATCATTCGGTGATAAATGTTACACGCATTCCTATGCAAAACAAGATCTGATTCGCAGCTTCTCAACCTTATCATATTTGGGTGTAAACTGTCATCGCCCATCTCTTCAGTAAAAACTGTAAAAAAAAAAACATTAATTTTATATAGAGAATCAGATTTTTTTCTACATTAATATTTATAAATATAATTAATAAAGAAAAAAGAGTCAAAGAAAATGATTTCTAAATTAAAGAAACTTTCTTTAATCCTTATTAAAAATGGACAAATTTCTTTGAAACAAAGAATCTTTTTTCTGTGTAGAAAAATAAATACACTGAAAAAAATTTGCTTCGCATTAATGACTATTAACCATAGTAACTTTAAATCTAGTCAGTGTAACCAAGCACACAGGAAAAACAAAGTGTTATTTTAACACCAGAATTGGTATTAAAATAACACGCAACAAATTTTACCCTAAATCTGGGTTAAATCTTATGGATTTTAGCATTGGAGAAAATTACCCGCAACAAAAATAACACCAGCTTTTTTCTGTGCATCCTAGTCAATTCAGTTATGTAGCTTGGTTAATATTGTTAAAATCGATTTAGTAGAATTGACCCCTTGTTTACTAGTTATATTAACTAAGATGTTTGGTTAATATCACATGTATCTATAATCAATTTTGCTAAAGTCTATTTAGTCAAAGTGATTCTAGCCAATGTATAACTAAGATACCTGGTTATTCTGATAATCTGCCCTAGTCATTTCGACTAATTGTCGAAATCAACTTTGACCAAGATTGCCTACTGGGTTCCTCTCGTAACCAGGCAAATTAGTCAATTCCTGTCATACGGGGGTTACTCTCTAAATTTGAATCAGCTAAAATCCGCTGTTTCGCAGCGAATAGTCGCTGATTGAAAAAGCTATAAGTATGCAGCTGCGAATCAGCGACTAACAACTATTTCAATCAGCGGAATACTCCATTTTAAAATAAATTTATCTTCCGACGAAAATGACCGACGTTCGCCGATTCGTGATTCGCTATTTTATTAGCTGTAACCGCTGATTTGCAGTGAAAACTTTATTCGCTGATTCAAACAGTGAAATTTTCGCTAATTCAAATTTAGAGATTACACTGTAAAAAGAAAGGTATTAATTTAATACCGACTTCAGGTACTAAATTGTCATTTGGTTCTATTTTGATACCTAAAATCGGTACTGTTTTAGTACTTTCTTTTTACAGTGTAGGAATTTTTTTCAGTGTAGAATATATTTGCCAAGTATGAGAATATTTTGTGTTATTCGATCCACACAAAGCATGTTAAGAATTCATGAATCAAGACATTGGCATGCCAATTAATCAAGCTCGGTGTGAATATACCCCTTGGGGAATGTCTATACTGGGACAATCCATTATGACCAAAGATTTCCTACGATTCAAATTTTAACTATTGTTTTTCCATTATGTATAAGAAAGAACAATTTTTTGATTTCAGGTTATTTTCAAGTTGACAGTGATCAGTTGAAGAGAGGAGGAATCAATATATTGAGAAGAGAGATCCTGGGTGAAAATTGGTGGCAGGGTCGTTTCATTGCATGAAAAGCGAACGATTTGAGTAGAGAGACACTTGTTGCTCCTGCGGAGTCACAAGGAGAGAGAGAGAGCACAAGGAAGAGTCTACCGAGAGTATAGTCGCCGACTGGAATAAAAAGCATGAGTCAAGAAACCCCTCAATGTTCCTTCCATCCAAACTTTACGTGGATGGTTTTCTAATTCTGAGCTCTTAGAAAAAGAAGCACTAAATAAACAAACTAAGCTTCGATGCTTAAAGAAAATAAGTGCAATGTCATCGAAAAGAATTTTATTCATCAAAATGGAATTCTAAATCCTGGCTACTGAAAATTTATCATTGTGGAGGGGAGAATTGAATATAACAAGATTGGAGTGGAACAACATTATTGTGTACGGCTGTCATGAGAGTTGGAAATTTAAAAGTGACTGGTCGGTGACACCGGCGGCGGCAGTGAGACAAGTGCTGCCGTCAACACATCCTCCTTACTACTGTCAAGTTATTGTGGGGATCGTCGTTCATTTTTTATTATTAAAATTATTTGAATTGGTGAGAAGGGAATTTGGAAAAAGAAGACGAAATTATCATCAGAAAGGCTGGATCACCTTCGTGGAATGTCTTCCGGCGCCAAGCGGCTGGTACAGTCGCTTAGGGGCCGTAGCGCCGGTAGAAGTAGCGGAAGGACCGACACTTCAGGGGGCGATGGCAGCGGAAACGGAGGTGGAGCCAGCACAAGTGCAACCAGACTTTTCCATTATGACAGCGGTCATGAACTCGATGAGATATCCGTCGTTGGAGGAATTTCTCGGTAAGTTTATTATTTTTCATGTCAAATAAATGTATTTCAAAAATTATTAAGGCAGTGTTTAGTCGTACCAAAAATTGCCAACAGAGCGCGTGCAATACAACTGCGCTTGCGTCGCAACAAACTTGTGATTGGTGGTAAAAAAAAAAAAAACTCGCTTATTTTAATTCCACAGAAAATTATAAGGTATTAAAATAAGCTGCAACGCTTATTATTTTAATCAAATTTTGCTTATTTTAATACCAAAATGGATTAAAATAAACAAAATTGTATTAAAATAATAAGCGTTGCAGCTGATTTTAATGCCTTTTAATTTTCAGTGTCCTTGAAGATAAAAAAATATTAAAACAGTAAAAAAAATTGTATTACATTTATTAATTTTATAATTACTCATTACTTAGGCTTTTTAATTAATTAGATAATAAAAATATTTGTAATCTTAATTATTTCTTGCGCAAATATAAATATTTTGATAGAATTATTTTTGAGTAGAAAGCCTTATAAGTAATGATAAACAATAAATTTAAGAATTACAATTTTTTTTACTGTTATAATGTTTTATTATATTTGAGAAGTTTAAATAAGCGCGGGTTTTTTCTACCAATCACAAGTTTTATTGCGCAGTTGCGTTTGGTTAATGTCGACACTAGTGACAATAAAGTGAACTAAAAAACGCTTTTTGAGTAAAAATTTTGTTTTTCTGTGTAAATGGAAACTAATATAATTTTGAATAATAATTTATTTATTTATTTTATTTATTATTATCCAAATAACCAAGAAAACGGACGTAAAAATTTTGAAACAATCACTAATATAATTTTATTTTAAAAACATAAAAAGAGATTTTGCTAAAAAAAAAAAGTTTATATGTGCTAGGACTTTGAGTTTCTTTTTCAATTTAGAGTATGTAAAATTAACCTTTTTTTTTCTGTGATAAAAAATGAAGATTGATAAAAAATAAACATAGAGTAAAAGAAAATGAGAATCAGTACGCATTTTCCCTTGGGTTGACTTATGTTTACGCAACCAACGCTCTCGTGGGCAATAATTTGCCTTTATGACTATATTCGCTTTTAGTGATATCCTACTATATGATTGTTATTCCGTTCAATCGACAATCGCTACATACTTTACGTATATTGACAAAAGCTGAATACAGAGAGGAAGAGAGAGAGAGAGTTGCCAGAAATAATGACTCTGGAGAGTCATTATTTTTGGATTCTGTTTTGGCGAGCAGATTTCATTTTAAATACATTCTGTTATCCAATAACAAAGACTCTTGAACTAATAATAATAACTTCACATTAAAAAAAATTTAATCGCTTTATTCAATATTTTTCGTACGCTAATTATTGAGAATTGAATATTGCGGGCCAAAAAGCTATTTATGGGGAAATTTTCATTTCTTTTGTCAGGGAAATTAATTTTTTTTTTTTCCAAATTTTGTTTAATCAGACAATGTTTAAAGTGACAAAGAGTCTAGTTTTATTTGTTTGTTAAAAACAACTTTATGTTAATTGATTAAGTACACCCTTAATTAGGTTTTGAAAATTTTTAGTTAATTTGTTTCTAGAAATTGTGTACAGAAAAATAATGATAATAATAATGTTTGATATTGAGATAATGAAACTCGATGAGACTAAAAAAAAGTAAATGACAATTTACTGTTGTATAGGACATTGCATTAATTGGTGTTAATTTGAAAATTTAGAGGAAACGAGGGGCTCACAACGCCGACCACACCGTGTCACTGCAGCGGCCTCAATAAATACGGAAGTGGACAAACTCTCTACAGCATTGCCGGTTCAGTTCCGCCAGCGCCAGCGGCTCCCATTCATCGTGTTGCTCCTGGGGGTAAGTCTTTTTTTTCTACTTTTAATTTTTATATATATATATATATATATAGAAAAGCAAGACATATCGTTCTGGCATCCAAAATCCGCGTATGAAAACAGTGAAAACGAATATAAATTACCGACTCCTTTAATATACATATATATATTATATTATAAAGCAGAGAGGCGCCTGTAAGAGCGCAAGTACCTTACATTGGAGAATTATGTGTTTGCCATCTACACGAAAGCGTTCTCTCCTCTCGTTCCAAGGAGTTTCTACTCGTTTCCCCCTTCTCCATAGTTTCATGAACACTGACAGGGTTTTGTCCCTGCAATGTTAACTTCCAAAGTTATGGGAGAGAGAGAGAGAGAACCTTTCTCTAACAGAACTATCTACCCGTCTTCAAATTTTGTCAATATTTACCCTTTCAGAAACTTTGGTTTATCGTGTTACTCTCACGACGTTTTGTCGAAAGGTCAATTCTTCCTTATTATTATTATTATTATTATTATTAGAATTCCATTTCTTGAAAAACAATTTTAGAACGCATGAATTTCCCATAAAAATTAATGGTAAAAATTTCAAAAAATTTTATTTCATATAATTGATTCTATTTTCATTTTTTGAATTAACAATTTGATAGAGTTTCTTTTTAAACGAATTTTTAGTTAAATACAATTTTTAGATTTGACCCGAAATTGAAAATGACTAAACGAATATAATCTACAAAAATATTAAGGCGGGAATTTTAAAAATTCCATCAATTCGTGATTGGTCATGTTTCAAATTCGCGCCTTAATCTTTTTACAGGTTATGTTCTTTCGGAACATTTTCAATTTCGGTCAAATTAAAAATCGTTTTTTTAAAATAATTCTATAATTTCGTGTAAATAAAAATTTGGATAAATACAAATTAAATGCGAGAAATTTAATGTCTGACTAAATTCTGAGATGTACTACTGAAACCACTATAGTTATTATTTATTTTATATTTTTATTTAGAAAAAAAAACTCGTTTACTTTAATATTGATTTTGATTTTTTAATTAAAAATCAAAATAATCCTAATAGAAGAGAGAGAGAGAGAGATTAAATTAAACGCTTTATTGGTAAATCATGTGAACAATTCAAAGACATTTGGTTTCATTCTGATTTGACATGAAAATTCTAATTAGTTTTGTGTCGTGTTTCATGTTTATTACATAGGAGTGAAACCAATATAATGTGTCACGCTTTATTTTAATGATTATTTCTCTAAAATGTTTTTCTCACTTGTATTTATATATTTGTTTGTGGTTATCACGAAATAGTAAAAAAAAAAAAAAAATATTTGATTTTGAAGTTTTCATTTTGTTGATGAAACTTTTCTTTGACGTTGCGATGATATTTCGCTGAATCTTTTGGGAATGAAAATAATAATTTTATTTTAATGTCAGAGTATTGGTGTATTGTTGTCGAGTTTGATGTATATATGTATATAAAAACTGTAGAGCTAAAATATCTGATGTTTAGTCGCTTTTAGACAGAAAATACCTAGTTTGTACAATCCCCCAAGGCATGCTTTTCTCGATGCCAGACAACGTTGCTAAATCCCAATGGCTAAACTGAAGTGAGAAGAGTAGAAAGGTGCCTTAAATTGAATTCGGCTTTCTCCTAGACGTGTGTGTGTGTGTGTGTGTGTGTTGAACTTTATAGCTTCCAGGTGCTCTGAAAATTACAAAGGTAGCCTTCTACCAAAGAGAAAATTAATCCTTATAATAGAAAAGGATCATTACAATTATTGCTCAAAGAATCCTCACTCATCTTTCACTCTCTATCTATCTCTCTCTCACACTCTCTTTCTCTGATAGCCCCATAAAATGTTAAATTTCTAATTTTCTCTCAGTAATTGAAATTGTTTTTATTTATAGAGAAAAATCACTTTATCCGTTTTCTTCGACAATTTATTATCCATTTGCTTTCTTTACACTCGCATTGTTGTTAGTTATAGATAAAAATATTGATGGAAATAAATATTTGTTATAAACATTATAAAATATAGAAAAAAAGTATCGTAGGCAAAACATAATTTTTGTACAGTTATTTTTATTTGATTTATGCATAAATTTTTGTTGTTTTACTTTTTAATTTTTTCAGTAGTACAAGTAAATGTTTAGTCGGACTTGAATTTTTGTAATCTTATCAGTAGTATGAGTCAATATTTGGACAAACATATAGTGAATAGAAATCAAAAAAACAGTAGTAAAAATAAATGTTTAGTCAGGCTTTAAAATTATTACTAATTTTATAAGTAGTAAAACTCGCTTTTAGTCAAACGTAATGTCAATATAAAAAAAAACAGTGGTGGAAATAAATATTAGGTCAGACTTCGATTTTTATAAATTTTATCAGTAGTAAAATTAGGTATTTAGTCAGACTTTCTAAACTTTTGTAATTATTCAGTAGTGCAAGTAAGTATTTAATCATACATAATAAATAAACTAAAAATCAGTAGTACAAGTAAATGTTTAGTCAGACATTTTACTTTTTTAATTCGTCAGTAGTACAAGTAAATGTTTAGTCAGACCTTCTAATTTTTTTAGTGAATAACACTGGTTTTAGTCAGACATGATAAATAAACTAAAAAATCAGTAGTAAAAATAAATATTTAGTCAGACTTTTTAATTTTTTCAGTAGAAATAGTAAGTCTTTAGTCAGACCTCCTATTTTTTTTTAGTAAATAAAACTGATTTTAGTCAGACATAATGAATAAACTAAAAAATCGGTAGCACAAGTAAATATTCAGTCTG